CCCCCCCCCCCCCCCCACACTAGGGGACGCATGAGGTTTCTAGAGAGGGGAGACACACGGATCATTTTTTACCACATTCGATTTTGTGAAATCTTAAGAATTGTATTTGGAAGTCTTCATCGCCATTACTCTGAACTTTAAAATGCGATTCTCTTTATTTTTATTTGATGTCAGCGTGAATACTTCATATTTTATAAGCTGCTTCGTCGGAAAGGCTGGGTGGATCGCTTTGAGGCGCGTTTGCAAGGCACACTATTTCCTCGACTTCAAGGGATACTGGTCAGGCCTCAGAGAATGCAATCGAGGCATTGATCCGCATGTCAGGTTAGTCCAATTTGCAAACCCGTCACATTGAACCTGACAGCGATAAGGGTCTTATTTTCATTTCAAAATTGATTCCAATCTTTCAACAGGCCCTATATATTTTAGAATGGTCGTTTTTCTTTGAGCTCAATTCCATGTAGGGGGGCACGCCCCCATTCGAGTACCATGGTCCAGTACCATTATTAGTACAAGACAATTTTTCAGTATATCGTTCTGTGATGGCCCTATGTGAGTAAGGACGAACACTGGGGCATAGTGTGATATAGGAACCCATCTTAAAATGCGCACATGTTGCTGGCTACTGATGGGAAGACCTGATTGGCTGACCGCAATCAGTCCCCACTGAATGCTGAAACTGGCGTCAAACTTAAACATAAGGGAGGAGGAAAATGTGGTCCATCGCTATGTTAAATTACTGTTAACCCTATGACGCCGGAAAGTCGTCTAAATTTTATTGAAAAGTTTAGTTTTTGACTCAACGAAAACACAACACTTCTCGATTACAAAGGTGAATCTTTTCGAAAAAGAGAAGACTGCTTGCTTCTGTTGGGAATCGAACTCCGGATCTCCAGTCCTTAGACTACGCCAACTGAGATAAACTGTCATAGTTACATGTACAATTTATAAAGGCGCTGTATACCATTTCATGATTTCTGTTTTCTATTTTAGGTCTGTACGTGCTCATCCTTCTTCATTCGGTGAGTGAAATGTCCTCTTCTTTTCTCATCTTCACTCATTTCTTTTTCAGGTTAAAAATATTTGTAATTTTGTAAACATAGGTTTATTTGTTTTTGTTTATTTGTTAAGTTGTGTTACAGCAAAATATAACCTGCCCAAAACTTAGAGAACTGATCAAACCCGAGGCATTGCAAGGGCATAGGTTAAATAGTTTCACTGCTGCCGCTCTATTTGAAGTGTGTCACAAATACCTTGTAAGTAGGTTCAGAAAATTATGACACGGAAACTTTACTTGAAATATCTCCACAGAAACTTCCTAAATGTTGCAACTTTGAGGAAACTTCCGTGTTTATAGGTTGTTTAAAGACACATCAAAACTTGAAACCGTCATTAAACACGTGCTTCATCTTACACAGGTCAGCAACTCTTTACAGAGATGTGCGAAAACAGTTCATATAAATGCAGATAATATCTGTACAGCACAAAACTTCAGTGTTTTATATTTACCCAAATATAAGGCATACGACTTGCTGTTAAAAGTGGAATTGTAAGGACGTCAATAGATTCTATGTGACGGATCTTTAGACGTAAATAAGTAAAACAAAAACAAAAATGTTCTAAGAGAAACGCCTCTAAAATGCTACAAAATTATGATCATTTTGTCCACCATGTTGG